CTTAAAATTCACATGTGAATATCCTAACACTCAAGATAATGAACTTAAGAGGCAGAACTCTGGGGAAATATTAGCTCATCAAGATGGAGATCTCATGCTTGGGATTAGTGTCTTATTCAAGAGTCCTCATTGGGCTGCTTTGAACATTCTATCTGCTGTGAACACAAGGTAGAAGTTGCGGTCTATGAGGAAAAACCTTGCACCAGACACCGGATCTGCCTTGCTTTGAACTTGTGAGTGGCTTCCAGGACTGTGAAAAATAAATATTTATTTCTTAAAAGCCACCCTACTTATGATATTTTTGCTACAGCAGCCCAAATGGACTAAACCACTAATGTGCATTTAAATCATGAATGAGTATGCATTTTTAATTTATCTTTTAGTTTAATAAACATATCTCTGGTTCTAGACAGTTTGATAATTTAAAAGTTTTCTTAATTCAAAAAGAAATCCCCCCCTTTTTTTGCAGCACCCCTGTTATCAACTAAGGTTCTATTGCAATCATTCTCATTATAATTTAAAAGTTGGTTAATATTATTGGGCAAATGATAAAAAATAATTTTATTAATTCAAAGTCTGATGTAAAACCCAATCTAGATTTGAGCCAATAATCAATTTTGATGTTTACATACGTTATATAAACAATTTCATCACTGTTTTTAGCATTTTTCCTCCTCTTAACATGTTGAAATATATGAAGCTATAATTTAAGTTATTGGAAAAAACTATCATTCCATTAATTATATGATATACTTTAATGTTAACATCTTTGTTTACTAAAATGAATTGAGCAATCAAACCTGTCATGTATTGAGTACTGGTAATCTTTTTCAAAACTCCAAGCTCACATGTTACATAATAAATTGGTAAGTTTGGCCTTATTCTATTTCTGTACATGGGTTGTACAATTCTGCTCAATGTCACCTCCAGAGGTAGGTAGCAAACTACAATCTAATACAGCATATATACTGCTAAATTGAGTACATTTTATAACAAACAGTTGAGTCTCAGCCAATTACAGCAGGGGAGCTTCATCCAATCACAGGTCACCAACTGATTGGCTCACATTCATATAAGCAAATGCCTCCACACTCTTTACCCATTCAAGATAAATGTTGATAACAGCTAATGAGGTTCTTTCTTTATGTCTGTTCCCTTTCTCTGGCTATTAACATAACCTGCAGATGTGGTGGGTGGGGAATTCTGAAACAACTTCTCTCCTTAATGCTGCTCAGTTCCAATACTTTTCTTGTTCAAATAAATTTCTTAAATTTAATTCATCTCAGATATTTCTCCAACATATCCAATTCTCAAGACAACCCTGGGAATTACATGTGTCTTGTTTCCTTGATGAAGATTCCAAGGCTCAATTTGGGTGGTTTTCCAAGATAAATCTCTTAAAAAGAAGAACCAAACTTCATACTCAAAGATATCCCCAGAGCTTACTTATTCTCTGCCTTTGCCATAACTGCTCAAATTGATTGACTTTGCTATGTTTTAACACCCTTCTTTGTAACACGATATACTGGTAATTGCCTGCTTTTTCCCATATAGTTGAAACTCTTCTTCCTCCTAAAAAGGATGCATTTTAAACAGATTGAAGAGGTGTTCAAAATCTCAATCAAGGTCATGGCTTTGCTGATTTGAGTGCAGTTTCTTTTGCTGTATTTCTTCTTGACTTCTTATATAGCAACAGCTGTGATTCTTTACATTTATTTTAAATTGGATGTTTATTATATCTAGGATAAAAAATTCAGCAATAATAGGAATTCTGAAAGGATAAATGCAGATATTAACAGTGATTCATGTGATCATTTATTAAATAGAAAAGATAAATGTTACAGTTTATGAAATTTAAAGAAATGACATTTAAACATAATTAAATAAAATATATTTAGCATATTTAAAATTATTGAATGAGAAAAAAGGATGAAATAAACTAACAAGAAATTTTGCAGCCTGAAAATATCCTTTCTCTATAGTTTTCAGTTTTTCCCAGGCAACATATTGTGTTCCCTTTTGGTCATAATTTTAAAGCATCATTCATAAATTTTAAATAAATATATTCTGTTCAAATATAAATGCTTCTAATTTAAAAGATAATATACAAAAAATGGAGTATCATGTAACTTAAAAAGCATAGAATGTGGGAAATTGTGGCACACAACTATAATACCAGTGGCTTAAGAGGCTGAGGCAGGAGGATCGCAAATGCAGAGCCAGCCTCAACTACTTAGCAAGGCCCTCAGCAACTTAGTGAGACATTTCCTCAAAATAAAAACCAAAGAGGAGTGGTATGTGACTCAATTGTAAAGTGCACCAGGGAAGTGTAATCCCCAATACAAAAAAAAGGATTGAGTACAAAATTGTCATCAATGTGTATGTACTGAATGAACCTTCCATCCTCAAATATAAACCAAAATATTAATGATGGTGACATTGGTGACCTCTCTAACTCCCAGATGTTGGTTAAAGATAGAAGGAAAAAAATAGATATTAGGTTAACATAAAAATTTGTGCTAGGATTTTCCTCTCTCTCTCTCTCTCTCTCTCTCTCTCTCTCTGTGTGTGTATGTATGTATGTATGTATGTGTGTATATATATATATATATATATATATATATATATATATATATATCCTATGAATTTCTTAGCTTACAAATACTTTATTTTGACATATCATGAAGTTATTTTAAATCATATTGTTTTTCAAAATTTAAGTTAAAAATTAGGGTATTGTGTGTGTGTGTGTGTATGCACACAAGCATGTATGTGTGCATGTCATTGTTGAAGTTTATTTGTATGCTTTGAGAGTAAGATCAATTCAATACTTTCAGTACTTTTAATACTACTGCAAAACAAAAAACAATCTCAAGAAACTTGGAAAAATTATATTTACCTGAAAAGGTAAAAAATAGGTTTGAGTTTTACAAGATTATTTTAAATGCAATAAATTCCACTTATCATTTGTGTGTTGAACAGAATAGAATGTTAACTTCACTATGAAAAAGAATATTTTTCTCTTCAGTCCATAATAATGTGCATGTATACAGTGTATATATATATATATATATATATATATATATATATATAATATCACAAATACATGTATGTATATGTATGTATACACACACACACACACACACATACACATAATTATACTTCAGTGGATCACAGGATATTCATAAGATTTCTCCACAACAAACACAATAGTATTCACTATAGAGTAAGCCAAACACTGTTTAGATGGAAATGTTTTAACTTAATCACTAGTGGTTTTTATTACAATAAGTAATTTCCAAAATTTGGGGGCTTGATATACTGCCAAACATATAATAGATAATCAATAACTACTTTTTGAAAAAGGAAGGAATAATTGATTATATAATTCCTGTCTAAATATACCACTTTAAATGTAAGTTAAGTCAATGTGCCTCTCTTTTCTATCAGTATTTTGTTGACATAGTTAGAACTGAATATCAGAGATTTTGTTAATATGCAACAATTAAATTTTATTTAAAATGCTATTTGTAAAAATCTTTGCAGAATATCACACATTAAAGAAAAGCCGTATGTTATATCTTTCATTTTATATTAAACTATACAATATTTGTTACCTGTTTTCTTCATTTTTATTAGGTCTTTTCTCTCAATTTGTATATAAGTGACATTAGAAGGATCTTTAAACTCTTCCCACTTGTAGATTTAATGCCAACAAACTCCAAAAACAGTACAAAATAAACAGCAGTATTTAAGACATTCTTTTTGCTAATGCCATCAAACTTATTTTGTTACCAATTTTCTATATCATATAATATAGTTGACATTATTGTTAAAAATTGACAATGATCAGGCATTAAAATGTATTTTTCTGGAACAATAGAAAGACTATTAAAATTGTTGTAAAAGGTAAAAACTCAATTTAATATCAAGAATTAATAAAAATCCCAAACAAAACAGTTTAACTGATCAATCTTCACAAATAATGAAAATAATAGTAAACATGTCCTTAGTAAACTTAACTGCATATAATAATGTAAACTCTTCATTAATTTTAAGTTAAATTGTTAACACATATTAGTATAGCCAGCATGACACAAAACACATATAAGTAGGAAAAAGACAGAAATAAATCTGACAAATTCTCCCTGAGCATTGTTTATGCAGAAAGTAAGTTAAAGTATGTTTTTCTATAATGCCTTTAAAATTACTTTTATTTCTTCATTCTCTACTAAACACTTAGTGACTGCTCAGGAATGCTTTTTAGATTTCTTAACCATAATGCAAGTATTTATTTTGCCTTAAAGAACATATTTATTTCTTTAAAGTTGCTTTCCTTGTTTTTAAAATAAAAATGTTTATTTTTATACTGATACCAGATATTAATTATGGAGTCAAATATGAATTCCTATTATCCGGAAAACCCCAAAATATTCACCTTTAGAACATTCTATTAGTGGAAAAAGCAGTTCCACTTAGCACTTCACTTTAGGATGACACATGTTGAATATTTACTCCTAAGTTCTATGAGGTGAATAGTACAAGAAGAACATGGACCATATCCCTTTGAGAACAAATTCAACACTAGATTTTTTAATCTAGGGAAAGAGAAGCAGCAAGCTAATAATATAAAACTAGTAATTTCAAAAGCAAAAGCTACCTCTGTATTCTTGAACATATTATTCCTTGACATTTCAAAGCAAGGCAAGAACTGTGTTCCATGTTTACATTTTAAATTTGTTCAACATTGTAGAGCCCATATATTTTTAATTTATTTTATTCTGGAACATTTGGGTAATAGTCATAAGTGACACTAAAAATAAATATACCCTGTTGTCCCATATTCTATTTTAGTCATCCTAATTGCTGAAGATTTAGGTGACTTAATTACTTCTTAGGCTTACATAACCTAGGATCTCAATTACTCTACCCTTTTAAAAAACCTCTAGATAGCTTCATTTATTGTGTTTTCTAGGCCATAACAAAGAAGCATACTGTACCTCTTACGCTGCTGGTTGTTGCAGATGTGGTTGTGCTGGTTGTTATGGCTACAGTGGTTGTGACTGTTGCAGTGGTAAGGGAGGGGATGATAGTAGTGGGAAGCAAAGTGTTGGGAACATCTGGTGAGTGGAAAAAAACAAAATATAAAACAAAATCATATCATGCAAACAAAAGAGAAACACAAATGATTCAAATTATAAATACATGTATCTTATTTAGACTTAAATTTAACAAGCTTAAACAGAATATCAGGTACACAACAACCGTACCACAGTTTCTGTCATTTTTTCTTTCACTTCTTTTTCATGCTCCAAAACAAAGAAAAATCTTGGAGCTAAGTCTGAGAATAAACAGATTGTTTGCAATATTTAGAGTGAAATTTAAAATGACGAGAATTCATTTATTCACTGAGTCATTTGAGCAATTTGTCATGCAATAGCAAAATACATATAGGTAAAACAAAAAATAACAACATGCTTTGTCAGGGAAGTAAACAAAGAAACGACACATACAGAAATAAACACAAATACCACCATATAAGATTAAAGAAATGTTAACAATGAATATGTATATGCATGTTAAATACTTTTGGATTTTTTTTCTTTTAGGAAAACTTAATGATAGGAAATAGGATGAGTGCAATCTTTAGAAACAAACAAACAAACAAAAGAAGCCAATTGCTGTTATTATTGTTATTTTGCTTCTCCTGTTCTCACAAATGATGTTAATGTACAGCTTAGAGTCTTGCAATTCTTACCCTGATTAGCTGGCCACGCCTTCTAACAATTTTGCAGTACCTAGGAGTCTTTAACAAGTATGGAGCCAACTAGCATGGAACCCAATATTCTGAAAGGTTTATGATTTTAAGATGGCATACCTAAGGGAAATTACTGAACATAGACTTGAACTATAGCATTCAATTCCCAATCAATTATTAGTCAACTTGCTGAAAATTAAAATATTGATTCAAATACTTAGAAAACAGAGTAAACAGAAAGAAAAGCTTAGTGTTCAATGCTCGAATCTTCCATTCTTTCAATCAAACCTGCTGAAAATATGAAAAGGAGCAAAGAGAACATTGAAACAACACAGCCAGTGTTAGACTATTAGAACCTTAGTATGATCCTCTGAGCCAAATCTTGTCTCAAGTGGATAGGCATATAATTTACACAGTGAGAAATTAGAAACATTTCCCAAATTACCTGTAATTACTGTGCTGGGGTTTGATTTCACATATTTGTCACATAGTCCCTATATATTCAGAGTGTTTGACAGATTATTTTGCTATTAAAAGGTTTCCTGTCATTCTCTCAGCAAATGTCTTTGAGTCACACCAAACATTTTCTAGTCCTTTACTTTTGATAAATAGCCCTACTCAATCTGAAAATTCTACCTGCTGAATGCTCTACACTGGGGACACCAAAAAACAGCATGAAATCACTCTCTTATCTTGAGTATTGATGTTTACACCTGTTTTTCAACAGGGAAAATGCTTCCTGGCCAGTCAAATTAAGAAAACAACCTCTGAAAACTCAATGGTGCTTACATTAATCACTAGGGAAAATGGGTATTGCCTGGAGTGTGATTTAACATGATCATAAAGTAGAACTGACTTAACAACATTATAAATGGAAACGAATAAATATTATGTATGTGGGAATATAAACTTCTATTTGCTAAGTTTTATAATGTGTTCTTAATTCATGGTAAGCTTTCTTAAGAAGTTCTGGCAGATTGGAGATAAATGAAAACATTTTAAATTTTTTAAACAGTCTATAATTTTAACTTTTATATCTAAAATAGAAAATCATACATTTTTGTTGTTAGCAAATCATTTGCTTATTAGGAAATCTGAAGATATGTACTCACTAAATGCAAAGTTCAATATCTCCCAGGGTAATCAAATATAAGAACAGACAATAATATTAGTCATTTCCAACTATGTATAAAGAGCCAGACATACCAAAGATGATATATTATTAAGTTATTTACTATCAGACAATGGGCTAGAATAATATATCATCATATCTTATTCTAGTAAAAAAAATAGACTTAGAAAATCAACTCTATTAAAAGTAGCATTATGAATTCCTACTTTCTTAGTAGGGTTTTGTTCATTTGTCATTTTGGCATAGCCGAAACAAAACATTATTTGAATTTTTTCCTTACTCCATATCAAGGATAGAAATTCTAAATGATTTGAGCATCTCAATATTTTCAAGTCTTATGAGGATTCTTCTATAATAACCTGAATAATCTCCTGATTTCCTAGAAATGTCAAAATGCATTAAGCATAGACTTTTTTTCCCTGGGCTAATATTCAAAGACCTAAAAAAAAAAAAAAAGATGGATAGCTGTGATAATTGTTAATCTACTTTAAAAGAACTTCCCAGAATCATTACAAATTTCCATGAACATAACCTTACAAATCATTACTGGCACACAGTCTGGCTCCAGCTTACCTTCTCCAGATCGTCTTCTACCCTACCCTCTTGACTTCAGGTGTGACTAAAACTGCTGAAAGCATGTTGGCCAACATGACAGCTGGCTCAAGAAAATGATCCATGAGAAAGAAGCCACTAGCTTTACTGTTTCCTATATGTTTTGCAATATTTGAAACATTTTTTATTTTTCCAGCAATTATGAGGAATTCCCTCTGTTCTTTTTTTCTGGTCATACATTCATGCCCATCCAATTACTTCAGCTGTGTTATTAAAAAGTAAAAGCAGAAGTAACCTAAATATTTAGTTCCAGAAGGTTAATAAGAATTAAATCAAACAACATAAGATTAGTTGGAATTATAGAAAGATCAAAGAAATTGTATACCTCTGCTTTTCACTTACACTGTTTGCTCTGATTTGGGTCTGGTGTTTTCCCACTTGACAATTACCCCTTTGAAAGGAAGAACTCTGCCTCGTTTATTGTTGAAGTGTCAGTACAAGTTGGAAGGCCAATAAATATTGACTAAATAAATTTGTTATACCATTATAAGCTAGACCTTTTTTAGAGGATCTAAAAAGTCCATTGATTTGACAGAGTCGACTACTTATCCTAAAGGGTTTCTTTCCTTCTCTCAAAAAAAACAAAACCAAAACCAAAAAATCTGTATATCTTTAACATAAATAGACATCATTTTCTGTAGGGTAAATTTCAAGATCACAAACTACTACTTCCTTCAAAAAATATATTTTTTGGCTTAATAAAAGCAGCAAACATTTCATCACAGTTTCTGCTACCCTGAAAACATAGAGAGCCTAATTTAAAGCTTATGGCTGAGTTCTACCTGTCTCCATATGAACTGATTGCATTGTCACCGATTCTTAGACTTAGTGGGAAAGGTTGAAGGGTCAAGAGAACTTTAGAAACTTCCCATGCTTTGTTCAACTATTACAACATTAGTTTCCTGGTATATCAGTTTGTATATATGCACATACCTATTTATGTTGCAGAAAAATATTTTATATTTAGTGTTAAGTGTGAGTATAATTGAGAGGTTGATTGCTCCACTTCCATCTCAAGACCTTTTATTTTCAGCAGCCTGATTGTAACTGTAAGCAGAAATTAGCAAAAGACTCTATCTAAGCTAGCTTCCTAAACCCCAACTCGCAGGTTTTTTTCTGGTCTTCACTCCTATAAACCGTGGCAACATTTAGCACAGGTTAATAAATGTTTCAAATGTCATGGTTTAGAGCAGTAACTTTGGCCTTTAACTTAGATATTGTTTAGGAAAAGGTGGTATAATTTCATAAAGAAATAGGGACTACAAAACACATACTACTAGCCATTTACCTCAGTTTTAAACTATCTAGAATTCCACACCATTTTAAAACCATTATACTCTTAATATGAGAAATATTCTATCAAATATAGGACAAGATAGAAAATGAAGGTAAGTTATCAGTTCTTTTTTTCCTTTTAAGACACCTGTTTTTTTCCCCCTTTCTTGAAAGAATATAAATATAGCAAATCAGATACAGGAAAACTATACACATGTACACACACAATAAAATACTAACTATTGGTTCAACTTTAATTAATCAATTCTGTCTATAAAATAACATAATCAATCTTATAGTAGCATGAATAATTTTCTGAATATGATATGTCAATGTAAGAAAATTTAAAATATATGTATATATATATATGTATATTATATATATATATATATATATATATATATATATATATATATTTCTTACATGTTAATATTCTTTATAATTAAAGGATATATTTAGTGGACACTAAGATGAGTATAAATAAAATGTAGTCAAATTATGTATCACATGATTACAAACTATGTAACATAATTTATGAATATTAAAATTTTAAGATGATAATTTATACAAAACTCAAACAATTTGCATGATATTTCATCTCTAATTTCCACAATGCAAAAGAGAAATTTTCCCCATGGAAAAATGTACTAATTTAATAAATAAATATTGCATTTTCTGAAATAAACAACAACAACAACAACAAAAAGTGATTACAAATAATAAGTTCAGCCTTTGGCAAATCCAAAAGAAAATGACTATTGTCTATTCTCTTAGATGGTAAAACATAGAAAATGAAGAATAGACAATTAATGAAACATTTAGTGGATAGAAATTGTATTTGGGAAAGTGAACTAAATATAAACAATAAGATTTTGTCTAGAGCTGATCAGACAAATTAATAATTATACATAAATTATTAGATACAATTTAAATCCAAATACAAAAAAAATCAATGAAGTTCTTCAAAATCAGAATTGAAAACAATGTTAGTAATAAATTTGTTTGTACTTAATCTAGCAATAATTTTTAAGCTGCTAATATATGACCACAATATATAGTAATATGGAAGAACAATTTCTCTGAAATCATGATTATGTGCATTAACTTTCAATAGACTAAATCTTACTATAATCTAAATATCACTATATGGAAAAATGGATAGAACTTTCTAAAATTACTTGATAATTTTAGATAGGATATTAAACAAATTCATAGACATCTATGATTTATTAAAAACAAATATATAATGTATAAATAATACATATTTATTGTGTTAAAATATAGCTCAATGGCAAAGCGTTTGCCTTGCATGTGTGAAGCACTGGGTTCAATCCTTAGCACAA